TAATTGTTTACGTCATTTGACTTGCTGAGTTATTTTCTTGAAAATGAGATTGAAGCAATTGGAAAAATTAGACAAAATATATTTTCTAATGACATTCCAATTCCTCAAAATAAAGAATAATTTCTAATGACATTCCAATTCCTCAAACTAAAGAATAATTTCTAATGGCATTCCAATTCATCAAACTAAAGAACTGAAGAAAGAGGATTTACTGGATCTAAAATTTCAAAGGAAGATGTAGTACTCCTCTGCAATCGGAAGGATAGCAGAGTTGTGACAGTAGCTTCAAATTGTCATGAAATTTTCCCATTACATATTGTACAGAGATATTCAAAGGAACAGCGCAAGTCTATAAATGTGAAATGCCCAAATGTAATAAAAAACTACAATTCATGTATGAACGAAACTGACAAAAGGGACCAAAATATAGCACTATAGACATCAAATTCGAAATAGGACATGGTATTGAACGATTATCATTCTGATGATGTTCTTCATCACAGATCATGTGTTTTGCAGAGAAGAGCCTGGTAAATTCACCACAATTGGAATTATTCGACGTGAGAATTGCTCTGGGTATCTCGTTTAATACGGAAAGGCACCAAAGATGCCTGACGTCCCTTTAAAAAAAAAAAAAAATTTTTTGGGTTTTTATTTTCCAACGCAGTTTGCACAATCTTAACATTCGTTGTTAAGAAACGAAAGAGAACAAGAATCAGAGATGCACAGGCATAACCGTCTATCCTTTGTGAGAACGATTGTGTTCTAATGAGTTGAGGCTAAAAATTGAGAACTGTTTCTTGCCATTTCACACCAATTAATAAAAAAAGTGTAACACATTTCAATCGGAAATTAATGTTATACAATAATGCTGAATTCCTAATTGCTGCCTGTGAAAAGTTTTGTCATTACTCCCAAATGAAGATGGGAATGCTGGGCGTTGCCATATGGAACAGTTAATCAATGAATATAACATTATATTTTATATTTTCGCTCACTTATAATCCCAGTAAATTAAATAAAATACGAACACCAAAAATCAAGTACAAAATAATTCCGGGCACTAATGGAGTTAGATACACAATTTCAATGACTCATTGTTTATTGTAATAATCGTACTGGTTGTACAAAAGAGATGTGTCATATTGTAGAATTTTTAAATTCCTTTTTTAAGAACAAAGATTCAAAATTTTGTTTTGCATTTTATATCTTTTACACTTAACACTAAGATATTCGAAGTTAACATGTATGGGATCACGCGGGTTCATTAAAGAAGAGAAATTGTTCAAGGAACACGAGGTGCTCGGTTTATTTCCGCAACGCAAAGAACACACCAGAAGAAAACCCAATGTCACAGCCGAACGATAATCCAGTTGTCAACGCAGAGTCACCAAAACTTCAGGAGGGCGAGATTCAAAACCACATAGCGTTCTCTCGAAGGGACAGGCCCAGGTCGCTGGTGCGGGTTGGCTCCAAACTGGGCTCTCTGCCTGCCCGCCAACACAAACACACGCACACACACACACACACACACATACAATCACACACTATAGAGCACGTGTGTCCAACTGACCTCTTGCGGTGCCTTTTATAGTGGGCCGCGAAAAGTTCTTAGAGAAAAATGGAAGATCCTTACATCCATGTCCTGCAAGAATATTGCACTTAGCGCTCTCCCGAGGGCAACACCCCGTTAATGTAAATAGTTTAGATTCATGGACTTATTTGCTAGTAAAACCAGTCAATCAAAATCATTCCAATGTTGTGCTCTCGTGCATGATTACATCCCCCTCCTATTTCAGAGCAGCCAAGATCAACAATATGGGGTCATGTGTGAATCGCCTGATTAATAAAAATATGGCAACCATATTAATGGGTTTAGGTGTGGCTCTTGAGGCCTTGCAATTTGAACACCCCTAACGTAGGGGGAAAGAGGCAGTCTCATACAGCGACCGAGCGCTGGCGCGGAGTCCAAACTGCTGCACGCGGCCAATGGAAGGAAGAGAGACCCTGCTGCCTCCCTGTGATAAAAAGCTAGGCTGTCCTCCGCATACCCAAGTACAGCATCAACAACATAGTCGATAACTATTCTAAAAGTCAATGCCGATGAAAAATGAATGTCAACTTATAACACAAAAACTCTGCATCTAAACATACTTTTTTTCTTAATAAAGAAACTCGGATTACCGATGGCTAATGTGGTGCCTCCAGCGGTTATTTTTATGTCTAAAAGTTTAATTCGTGTCCTGAAAGTTCAAAAATAAATGTGTATAAATTGCACATGCCGTGCAGTTGCCTGCCTAATGTATACAAAGATAGAAGGTGAAAGAGCATGTTAAAAAAACTATTAAAGGGTAAATTAATTCACCCCATCAGTTTTCTCTGTCAATCATTGAAACATGTGTGCTTTGAAGCGGTTCATTTTACAAAAATCCGAATATGAATAAAAACCACAATTAATGTTAAAAGGCGCAATGCTAAACTGTTTCTTTAAACTAATTATAGAATTTTTTAACAAAATACATACGCCATAAATCGAGAACCACTTCTTCCGAAGTCTCAAAATGTGCCATTTTCTCGCTCTCAAGAGCTTGCATAAGAAACATAGTCGAGGTCTTTTCATGAATGAAATTTCGAATATTAGCTAGAAGCCACCTCCTGAACACTTCATCGCCGACTAATTGTGAAAATTGAATGCGAGCACTGCGCTCATCCCTCGACCTACAGTTGGGTAATCGCGTTTGTATTGCATAGTGATGAACATCAAAATTGATTATTTTCAAAAATCTTAACTCGGAATACTTTTTTTTAATGAATAAAAAATTGTTGATGATTTAATTAAAGTAAGAGTAGCTTCTGGATTTTTGTATTAATTTTCATTGTGGGTAAATGTTTGCTACGTAAGTAGATATTAGTAGTTAACATGAATTGTTGAACAAAACTACTAATTGTCTGATTAGAAATCCAGTTTGAAGCAGAAAATAAAATTATATTCTACAAATTTGTGAAATATTAACTTTTAGAACATCGAAATCTGCAAACGTCACAGTATATTCTTATCAATTATTGTGATTCTCAGTGATTCAAAGTTGTTGTGTTCTTCTCCAATCATATAATTTTCAGATTGCTGGAGTTGACCATCGCTGGAGAGGACATTCGGAAGCAGGACGCATCGAGTGTGTTCTCAGCTGTCTACTCCAACCCTTTGGGGGTCGATGTGGCTTTGGATTTCCTCAACGATAATTTCGAAAAAGTCTCACAATAGTAAGTGCAGTATATTGGCTATTTGTTTGATTAAACCATTACACATCCATTTTAAATTAATACATTTCAAATAATTACAGTTTCGGTTCTATTAATAACATTTTAATTGGCATTGCTGGACAAGTGACGACACCAGAGCAGAGAAAGAAGGTATTGCTTACTTTATATAAAACTCAACCCTTTACATCAAACGAAATTATTGTTTTCCAACTAATTTATATTGATTTACTATGTTTTTTTAAGCTCCAAGAGCTTGTGACGAAATTTAAGGACGAGCTTGACTCCACCGGCGAAGCTGCGCTTGCTGCAGCTGATGACAACTTGCAGTGGCTGTCGACTCACGCAGATGAAATATTTAGAATTTTGGAAGATAAAGAGCTGCAGATGTATCGTCTTCCTCGATCAGTGATACCGAATCATTATACCATTTTCATTGATGCTGCGTTGCAGCATGTATCCTTCTCAGGGGATTTATCGATTTCAGTAACTGCAAACGAAGCAACAGAGATTATCGTTTTACATAACGAAGGAGTCTCTGCACAAAATATAGAAGTCAAAGCAATGGATGACGACGAAAATTTGTATGAATCGTCCTCTACAGATAGAACACTCGAACTTATGAAAATTCATCTTACTCGTCCTCTTACAAAAGGAGAAAACTACGTAATATTCATGAATTTTGCCGGAGCTTTGAGGCGTGATATGTACGGTTTCTATCTCAGCTCTTACACAAACGAAAATGGACAACAAGTGTACGTATTTAAGATTCGTTAAATTAATTTGAATAAGACTACTATACATATCAACCTAACACAACCAAACGAGATACAACCAGACACACTTTACGGCACTCTATAAGATTTAACAGCCCGCCGTATGTTAAGAACAATGAAAACAAGTGAATTGTAGTTAAAGACGTCGTATGAGTACAATTTTTCCAAAAAATACTTTTTCTTGTGAATATTATTTTTTTATGAGGAGTTGGTATCTTAACAAGTATGAAAAGACACACGAATACCATTCAGTTATTGTCTGTTAATCGGTCTAATAAAAATTAATATTTTTTTTTAAATTTTAATTAAAGGTACGCAACAATGTTATGTGGTGTTACAGGCAATTGGCTTCAACGCAGTTTCAGCCTACGTACGCACGGAGAGTCTTCCCTTGTTTCGATGAGCCTAACTTTAAAGCCACGTTTTCTGTAACCATAAGAGTCCCTGAATACTACCATGCCATATCCAACATGCCGGCTATTGAATCCGCATTAAGGTAGCAATGTTTACTATATTTGTTTACTGTTATTTATTATATTCAAGTGTTCACAACATTTATCAAATGCACATAAATATTTATAATTTATTTCTACGAAGCCAAAAATTATAAAAACTATTTCTGTACAGAAATTAATTTCTACGAAATAAAATACCATTACAGCATATTGACTGTTAACAACATTTGCATGATCCAACAGGGAGAATTCACATACAGATACAAGATTCCAGACAACTCCCAGAATGTCGACGTATCTCCTTGCTTTTGTTGTCTCCGATTTCGTGGAATGGGAGGACAGACTATCACAGAATGATGTTCTATTCAGAACGTGGGCAAGAAGAAATGCTATCGAATGGGCACATTATAGTATTCAAGTCTCCAGGCCCCTCCTGAAAGCTCTGGAGACGATCACGGGCATTGCGTACATAGACGACGCGCTGGAGCACCCGTTCGATAAAGTGGATCAGGTGGCGGTGCCCGACTTCTCTGCGGGCGCCATGGAGAACTGGGGGCTGATCACCTACCGCGAATCAATGTTGCTGTTCAACGACGGCACGGCGTCTGCGCGCAAAGGCATCGCCACCGTCATCACACACGAGCTCACGCACATGTGGTTCGGCAACCTCGTCACCACGCACTGGTGGGACGCCACGTGGCTCAACGAGGGCTTCGCGCAGTACTTCCAGTTCTACGCCACCAGCCTCGTCAAGCCGGCCTGGAGGCTCATGGAGCAGTTTGTGGTGGACCACCACCAGGCGGTGATGGGCGCGGATGCGCTGCCCACGTCGGCCGCGCTCACCTCCCCCGCCTACACGCCGGCCCAAGTGAGCGCGCGCTTCGGCTCCATCACCTACAGCAAAGGTGAGGCGATTTTTCTCTTAATTTTTTAAATTAAAATGTATTTCTCTCTCACTCTTCTCTCATTTTGTAGGTAACCATACTTATTTACTGACATTATCGCTCATATGAAATTTCGTTTTGTAAATTATGTACAAAAATGAACTGAAAATAAAAATAACTCTCCAAGATAAGAGCACTTATAAGAGCTCTCTCAATTTGACAAATATTTTGCTATTTTTAGAACTTTACTTCCTTGAATGAAACACATTTTTAACACATATTTAGAAACACTATTTTGGAAAAATGACTACTAGTTGTTATATCTTTCATATAAATTATTACTTCTTTGCGTGTATTTCTGATTTACAGTCTTCCTTTTTAATTAATCCGCGGCTAACATTGTGATTATGTCATTTTTGACCTAATTCTCACACTTAATTTTTCATTTTGTCTGCACAAGCGAGCACCAGAAATGTCGAATTAATTTCATTGTTCGGTCATTAGAGTGCAACACAAAAGGAAAACTCAACCGTCACTGCAGTTGCATTGGTAGCAGTGCAGTTGATCACTGGTAGGAGATCAGTAGCGTGACATGGGTGGGCTAGATCTGATGTCTCTCGTGAGGCTTTTCTCTACTAGAAAATTTATGGGAAGAATCATTCTCTTTTTTTTTAAACTCAGCCTTGATTTACTGACTTGTGTTATTGGATTATGTGCGATTGAGGTACACACTTATCAAAGAACATTTTCTATCTTACCAACTACTTTAGTAGTTTTAGAATACCAAATGCTGTTCTTTTCAAATGTCATGATTGTATTATAAACAATTTCTAAGAACTACTAATACAAGAAAAAACTACTAATAAAATTTGGATAAACTGTTACTAAATCAGTGGTGGAACTTAAACAGATTTACGCGTGTAATGTAATTATTCAACAATAATCGAAATTGAAGTTAAAGATGCTTCATGTAACATTTTTCTAAAACTTGTATGTTTTTATCTTAGGTGCTTCTGTCATACGGATGATTAGTGCCATCATGGGTGAAAACAAATTCCTAGAGGCGTTGCATGAATATCTTGATGAAAAGTGAGTATCGCAATGCATTTGAGAACAAAAACAATCTAGCGTACTGTGCATAAATATTCCCAGACCATTTCAAATAAAACACATCAAATACATTTATTTTACTTATTTATATTTTCAATTGCACTTTTGAACATTTCAGTAAGATTATGACCTTTCCTGCAAAATAAAATAATCCGCTGTATCTAGTGGAAGATAAGAAAACTTACACGCATGATTTTGATGCAATACGAAGTATAGTGGATCAATTGTCACAAGAACCAGTACAACATATCCATATTGTTGCAATAAGAAAAAAGAACTCTACGAAACCTTACACAAGGAAAAATAAACTAATCGTTAATGAAAAATCGTTTCATAATATTCCTATCACCACATGACTTTGTAGTTCAATATCATCCAAAATATTTTAGACTTACGTAACATTCACAAAGATAATACATACAAAGTGGTTACAGATTTTGCAGGTTTCATTTGTTTGATTAATTTTTCATTTTTGTTGAGGATTATCTTCGCAATTACTGTAACGTAGCCCACACAGCTTTATACTGAAAGTATCAATTACAAAAAAATCTTGGTAAGCTGATTAAAATGACATTTCTTCCATATACGCTTACGAATTTTGCATTCATATACAATGGCTATGTCATCTCCAATAGTGTAAACCTTATCATTACTTGTTCTTTTCAGTCTCAAAAAAATCTAATTGGATCTAATTCGAGGTTGAAAAGCGGTATACTACTTTATAAAATAACGAAGATTAAAATGCTTTTTAACTTAACACGAAACAATATTTTCTTTATACAATACGGCTTTAAGAATATATAAGGTTTGTAAGATTCATTAGATAGGATTTTGCGGCGAAAAACATGTCACCAAATATCTATACTTGTCTTCAATTTGTCGCCACTAAGAATAGTCCCCACAACACACACACACTTAGTCTCACACACCCCAACACCACATGTAATCCGTTGCAATACATTACGAATGAACACATCCTAACATCTCGTGCACAGCAGTGCGAACCTTCCAAAACCAGAATTCAGGTTCACTACGTACCCAAGATATATTTCTTGGCTTTGTTAGATTGGGTTGTTATCTACAAAATAAGATTTTAATTTCATACTATAGAGTATCATCTCTGACCACACTCATACTGTTTCTTGAGTGAACAGAAGCTAGCAAATTTTTACGATATACAATTAAATGGACACAAAAGATGTACAATTAAATGGTCTATTTAATATTCCGTGCAATTTCATTTTGTTAATACCTTTTTAGGAATATTACAATTTTACCCACCCCTAATATCACGAATGTTTATTAACTCCCAATTTAGGATCTGGTTGTTTGAAAAATGATTCGAGTTTTAATTTTTTTTCATTTTTGAAGTAATAATTTATAAAGTGCTAAGCATTCATCGCTTCTAACTAGCATTTAAGTAATCCGAAGGTTCGTTGGAAATGCTATACATCCTTATGCTCCTACTACCGTTCTAAACATCACATAACTTACGGAGGTGTTAAAAAGAAAATTAAATAAAATTGAAAATGTTTCCACTCTCTTATACGAGTATGTATTACTTTTCTCAATAGAATAAAGTTTTGTTTTTTTTGTGAACTGATTTACGATTAACTTTCTCCCTTTTTCAATTCTTCCTCTTTTTTGTTTGTTATTTCTCTATTTGTTGTTTCACCATTTTATAATTCAAGTATTCGAGGTACTCATGAATGATTTTTGCATTTTAGCCGCTATTCCACGACGATTCCCGACGATCTATTCAAGCACCTCGTAGAAAAGTTCAGCGATTCAAATCTGGATAAAATCGCTTTCGAAAACCTCCTAGAAACTTGGACAAAACAACCTGGATACCCTGTTCTCAAAATTGTGAGAAACTATGAGGATGGCTCTGCAGCCGTAACTCAGGTAATTTTACTATTCGCAATATTACTATTCCCCTTCGTGTTAATGTGATATTTTTAATCGCATATTGTCTGTTTATAATAAATTAATTTAATAAAAATCAATTTACACGATTATTTCACTGTGATTCTAAGTTGTCAAATGTAAATCTGTTTCTTGTTGGCATTTAATAATATTCATTGTCGAGGTGTGTCGATGAATCTTTCTACAATAGTTACGCAGGACACCTATGCAGGAAAGTTAACGGTTTTCAGTGATTTATAAGTCACAATCCGATAGAAAACCTCGTCACTTTTGAAAAGAGAATGATTTCTTGAGGATACAGTAAATGGTTTTAATTGGAAAAGTGTAGAGTTTTGTAGTGTATACGAAGAAGAATTCAGCAAGTTCTTACGCAAACCGGAACGATACCACGGCAAACTATTATAGTCGTACGATTATAAAGAAGTTTTCCATGGGGCATATGTAAAAAATGTAGTTAAAACCCTGTTTTGGAGGAGTTCGAGTTAGTTGCTTAGATTGTTATTAACCAATTGAGACATTTTGGGATATTCTAATACATTTTTGGAAGTTTCTGAATTCCTGTATTTTATAGCACAGATTGTCAGAATTGTATTATCTACGCAATGCTAAAGTAAATTTTAGCGATCCAGTGGGGTAAAAATGACGTGAGTTTTCAAGTGCTTTAATGAAAAGGGATATGGACTTCATTGCTGAAAGAAGCACAAAATTAGAGATATATAATTGGCATTATATTCATTATAATTTAATACAAACGTTTTTTATGAGGTCTTTCATTTGTTGTAGCTCCTCTAGTTTTCCTCTCTGTACATCATTCAACATCTTAATTCACAGACTAATGGCCATTTCTTAAAAATAAAACCCGTCTTTTTTAATCACACTTCTTAAAACGCAATATGACTTATAATACTTTTGTCATTTAAAGTTATTAACCTCGTTAAAAGAATCCAGACGCTATTGGTATTAGACTAAGAAATATCAAAAACATCGGAGTAAAATCCGGTATCCGCCTTATAGCCCAATCAAATACGATCAAAACCTGGTCATTGATGGAGAAAAACCACGGAGTTTTGAAACTTGGAATGATTGTTTGTTGGTACCCACCACACATTACACTGAAAATCCTGAAGTGTGGGGGGTGAGCCGGAGGTGGCGGGGTTGCTTTTAAAGGAGATTTTTCTACGTTTTTGCATATATTGCCTTAACTCATCGAAACTTATGTCCTACACCAAATTAAAGTAGAAACTATTTCCTACAAAAAAGTTATTATTACGCGTTGATGTAAAATTAACCCATTTAAAGTTGTAGGCTCGAAAAGTTCTTGTATTTACAAGGGTTTTTTCAAGATAGTATACGTATTTTCCTTATAATAATCATATGTTCAATACAATGAAGTATTTTTTATTTTAGCATGTATCAACAACATGTATTTGCATGCTATTTTAAGCAAAAAACATAAACATTTTATGTCTTATCAAATCTTATTTTGTAAATTCTCACAAATATCGAAGGTTATTGGGTTCGATATTACCTGGGGTACAAACAATGATGTGTTTATTTTATAAGGATCGAGTAGAAATATTTGGTAAAGGATTGTGTACACTGCCAACATATAAATTACCAAAACAATATTCGAGTACAAATACCGTAAATGAAGTAATCACGTTTACTCCGTACATAGAGGAACAACTAAACCTGAGTGCCAATGACGAAGGTCACACTCAATTATTGTCGAAGGACTTCAATGATTAAGGAATTGGTGAAAGCCCCATTATACTTTTTTGGGGGCATGAAACGTGCAGCAACAAAAATGTATTCCGACTTTGTTGAATTTCGACCAAATGCAGAGTCGAATTCTCAAAAGATGCTAACAGGTCATAACTGGAGAAGAAACATGGAAATTTGAGTGCCGCCTGGAAACGAAGATTCAGTCGCCCAAATGAGAGCATCCTGAATAGCCAAGTCTAAAACATGCATGGAAAATTTGATATAATTTCAAGGTTATGCTCACTGTTTTCGTGGATTTCAGTGGCGTAGAGCAGAATCATTTCTTGCCACCAGGTTGTACAGTCTCTTCATGGTGTTTGCAGGAGTCACTCCGAAGAAAACACCCGGATTTTTGACCAAACAATTCATGGTAGTTACATCACAATGATGCACCTGCTCACACTTCACATGTTCGTCAATTTTTAGCCAAACATAACACCGTTCTGATGCCTAAGCTTCCGTATTCGTCGGACATGACTCCCTATTACTTTGTCCTATTCCAAAAGCTTCAGAAATTCTCGAAAAAATGATTTGCCAACATTGAAGAAATAAAAACAGAATCGCTGAAGGACCTAAGGCCTTATCGAAAACTGCGTTTCAGACGTACTTTGAGAACTGAAAAAACTTTGGCGCACATGTATTATATCTCAAGGGAACTATTTTAGAGAGAACAAAATCAATATTAACGAAGTTTTGCATACTTATTCATCGTAAGATTTGATACTACAAAAGACGTGAAATATCCGAGTTTCAATTAATCGAGACGGTCATTAGGAGAAGCAAAAAAATAATTTCATTGCACAACAGTAGATTCCATTAGTGATTTTAGGAATATTGGGGATTTGTCAAATCCGTAATCATTGGGTTCTCTCTTGAAACATTGAATGTGTCGTTTGTAAAACATCGACTCAAATGAAAGAACTTAAACTGTTTCCTTACAAAGTGAGGTCTGTTCAGGGATTGCAATTATATAATCACATTTCCGCATCATGTGGGGCGGGTTCATTGGCGTTCCAATGATCGATATGACAATATAGGAGAGGAGTTCCCGGAACTTCGTGAAGTTCAGTGAGCAATATGACGTAGGCAGCTGGCGAACCACCGACATCTTCCAAAATACGTTGCTTCTTTGTTTTCTTCGATTTTCAATGAACAATGAGTTCCACATTTCTAAAGCATGTATTCTGCTCTGCTATATTCACAATGCTCTCAACAAAGTGAATTTTAAGTTTTTAGTCTAATTTATTGTTATATTCTATAATTTAGAAATTTATATTTTATGTTTTATTTCACTCTATTCTATTTTCATACTTCTATTTCGTAACTCTAACTTCAACGTTAATCATGACTACTAGTCAGTGTATTGATATCTTCATCAGTCATAAGCGTTATTGAAACGAAACAAGTCTTTTTTACAACCTCGGGTGAAATATCCTCGGGTTTTTGTTCTGGGTCGATTATTAGAACACTTATAACCCCCTTGGTACATAAATATTATTTTTATTGATATGTTATTGCTTTTTTATTGCCTCCGATACGAAGCTCCATATACACTGCATTACTTATCTGGATCGCGAAGATCGTATTTACGATGGAAATATGAATACATGCGAATTATGTTGCATGCTCTCTTATGGAAGTAATTGTGAGAGGAAATTGTGGGAGGGAAATAAGAAACGAGAAACCGAGTGAAGTCAAGCAAACAAAAGTATGTTGGTTGTGTGAGATACAACTTGTAACAATATAAAACATAAATTACGTACGCACTACAATCTTAACAAATGCTGGAAGTTTTGTTCCCGTCACTTGTTTTTCTTTCGTGGCGCACTGTAGTTTGAACACGTTCCGATGAACGGGAAAACACAAATCTGAAACTCAATTCGTTTGTTGACACATCATTGAATTGCCAACCTGAAAATAGACATCAAGCTTCGGAAATAATTTGAACAAATCTTTACCCAGGCACGCTTCCTCCTAAAGAGTCAAACGACTCCAGACCCCACACTCTACTACGTCCCGCTCACGTGGGTGGGGCCGGGAGGAGACTTCTCGGCCACAGCGCCCAAGGCCTACCTGGCCCAGGAACAGACTCGGACAGTCACCGGCTTGCCAGGGCCACAGCAATGGGTCATTTTCAACGTGCAGGAAACGGGTAAGCAATAAAGAGCAAATTTTGCATCGGAGGAAGTAGAAATCACATAAGTTCATTGTTATACTAGAAAAAGAAATATTTTTTCAAGAATATCTCCATATTTGTATAGTACAAAAAACTTTATCGAGAGCTTGAGTTCACATCTTTCAACCGTTTGGCTATTTCAAATGTTGGTTGATCACCGCAAAATACATAACACAACACGCAAAGACAAACAAATATCCTTGTTGTATATTAGATTAGATTTA